TACTCGCTCGCTCGCTCGCTCGCTGGTTCTACGGGTTTGGAATTTCGTACTTCCTGTGTCCCCTTTCGTTCGTATATTGAGGTTCCGTTCGCTCCTAAATATACAGCTGTTATGCCCGAAAGGAAGCATGCGGACGGTGGTCGGCTGGAAGGCATCGATTTGTAGGAACTTCTGAATCATAAATACATACGATCGCCTCGCCTACGACTAGAGTACTAAGAGCTAAGCTATAAGAGTTAAATGTGGATCGCTAGTGCTATCGATATTTATAGACGACTGTATATGAATTGAGTACGATAAAGGATGGTTTACAGAGATTCGTAAGGATGTCGAAAATGATCAATTAACGTTATCGATATATCGAGGAAACACTATCGATCATTTTCATATTTCAAAACATGCTCGTTCATTATTCGGTTATACTTTCCAATATATATATATATATACTCTGACGGAGGTTATTTCTATGTAATTAAATTTATTTGATCGACAAAACAAATCAATCTAACTAAGTAACTCCATCGACGATATGATAATAAATAAATACAAATCGATATAAAATTATTATACCTTTAGGGCCTAACTTTTACGACATTATACACATAGTTGTATAAAAGAATTGTAAACAAAACGTTTACGTAAGTTCATCGGTTATCAGCTGATTAATCTTTTCTGATTTCATAGCTAGGGAAAAGATAATAAGTAGAAAGTCGAAAAGAAAAAAATCGTGTTAATGATAGAAACAATTTATACGACGGGTATATAATATTTATGTTACGTGTGTAAAAAAAAAAAAAAAAAGAAAAAATAATTGGGAATACGTTCCATACTGATATTATGAATGAATAAAAAAGTACCGATTTAATCTCAACGTGAACTTCTTTTCTAATGTTTGTTTCTATCTATCTATGAGAAAATAATACTTTCGTATTTTTGATTACAAATACATACTTTATGAATCTAAATTTATCTCGGCAAAGTCCGTAGGATACGTATGTAACGTAAGTATAATATATAGGAAGGCAAACGCGCGTGCGCGCGCGCTCGCGCACACGCACATGTATATACACGTATCGTACGACATATATGTATATATATATATATATACATATACATCGTAGGATGGGTCAATTGCCCTTGGTAAATGCATTTATGACCCTCGAATGTGGCGATGCACCGACGAAGTAGGCGATAAATTGATAACGCACGCATATGTATATAACGACGTTAGTGGCACACGTTCGTCCTTACCTCGTCCACCCCTTCTCGAGAAAGATTACGGATATTATTAGATATCATTCGTCTAATCTTTTTTTTTCCATTAACGATTAAAAAAAGATACTTTTTATTATCACGAATACTATAATAATCAATCGATCGTACATACAATTTTGATTCGGAAACATACAAATTAATCCTTTTAACTTCGTAGTATAGATAGATATCGATTCGAATGGAAATGGTTCAAAGAGAAAAAAGAATTACTTGAATGGAAAAAAAAAAAAAAAAAAAAATATATATATATACATATAAATATATATATATATATATATATATATATATATAACAATGGAATGTTCCTTTGTGAAGTGCATTTTCCAGACGAACAAGAATCGCTTAATCCGAATCAGACGAGAAAAACGAGAGGAGTCGTATAGATCGCAATATAGCACTCGTAACTTCAAGATATTTCGCAAGAGTGGACTATTCTAGAGTAATTCTAGCTTCAAGGAATTTATCCTTTTTTCTTTTTCTTTTATTTTTTTTTTTCTTTTTTTCTTTTTTTTTTTTTTTTTCTTTTTTCGTTCTCTCCTTTCAAACGAAACGAAACGAAACGTCTAGAGAGATCCGTTGTGTGTATCTCATATGAAGGTTGGTTGGTCATCTAACCGGATGATAAGTATAACTGTGCGTCTACGAGGAAAGAACTGTGCAATGTTTCAAAGAGAACACGATGTTCAACATCCGTAAAAAAACGTTTTAACGTCGAACCTCTTTCTTCAAATTCATTGATTACTCGTGACGGTACAACCTCGGATCAATAGTTTCTACTTTCAATATTGAACAAATTCAAGTCAGTCTCACTTTCGAGGTCGATCAAATGCATGATTTGAAAAGTAAGAGACCACAAAAAATTATTCGTATTTTATGTATATATACATATATATTGATGTATTGATATTTTTGGCCTGTAAAAAAGAATTCATTGAAAGAGTTTCAAAAGTTCATTGAACTAAAAAAATTAAATGAAACTAATTCACACATCAGTATAGGATCTTTTCTTCTTCTTCTTTTTTTTTCTGTCTTTCTTTCTTTCTTTCTTTCCCTTTTTTTTCTCGGAAAATAAAATTTTCCATCTTACAATTACTCGACTTTGGCAACATTGATTACGTAGAAGATGTAATGGAAAAGTGAAGATATGATCTATTTCATGGGTCATGCGCCAATGGATCAGTTTAATACATAGAAATTTTCGATAACTGTTTTTATTTCTGTCGTAAAGGCCATAAGGGAACAAAAAGTTTTATATTCCCTTTTTTATTTGTGTTTTCTTTTATTTTTTTATTTTTATTTCTTCTTATTTATTTATTTTTTTTTTTTCTTTAATATATATTTAAATTCGAACTAGATTCAATTCGACCTTCCTCCTATTATATAATATCAGCCATATATATATATTCTTTATTATCGTAGTCTCTCTCTCTCTCTCTCTCTCTCTCGCATCTTTTTACGAAAACAATTTTCACACGTTTCTCATGAATATCTAAACACACTGTCGATTCGTGTAAAAACAAAAGTAAACAAATCATGAACTCAGCGATGCACCCAAAATGTTTACGTTGAGGTGATAAAAAAGGATTGCGAATTGTTAAATAATTTAATCCGACTCTGTCGTAATATAATTATGTATATGATTCGTGTAATCGATAAAAAAAAAAAAAGAAAAAAGAAAGAAAGAAAGAAAAAGAAAAAGTAGGAAAAGGAAAAAGTATAATGAGTGTGAAACGATGAATCTCTGTTGTTTAGTAACAACGCTTAATGACAATTAAAATGAATTGTTCACGCTTAAGAACAGGTAGGCTACAATCATTATTAGCAAGTATAAATAAATTTATGCGAGTTAAAGAGGGAGTTCGTTCTGTGTCTACATATATAATATATCTATATTCATCTCTTACAATCATAATTTATTAATAAGAAACAATGAATACTGTTTTGCTCCCTATATCTATCTTAGTTGTTTTCTTGACCAGAACAAATTTTTAACGTCGATTAGACTTAACTAATGACGTTCGAATTCGTTTTGTAATTATACGGCTCTAATACGATGGAATCTCAATTATCAATGATCGTAAGAGCAAAGGCAAAATAACGATAAGAATTTACGAAGCATCACTGAATCTAATAACACAAAACTGATAAGACAGAAATAACATATCTTCCTATTTAGTGACATAACTGCGAAAGTACTTACAATGCAAAATTACATTTCTTCCTTTAATAAAAATTTGCAGGATTAACGACATTTTTAGAAAACGATTTCTTCTTCGATTATTTTTTCCTTATTATGAAAACGTTATCGATGATTATCCGTTGATGTAAAAATCTAATAGTAAAAGAATTTAATAATAAATGTAATAAGAAAAAAATTTTTCTTCTCAAAAATTTTCTGCGTGTTCATTTCCTCGATATGTCGTCAAAAAAAATAAATACCTAGCTCCGCGCAACGAATGATTCAACAATATTCGAATCCAATAGTACCCTAAAATAATTTTACGGGTATGACGAAATCCATTCGCAAATCGAACGTCCAATATTGAAATTATCGTCTCGTTATAGTATACAGGAACAATTCGCGTATTTGTACAAGAAGGATATTCTATGTATTCCAACGTGGATTAGAAAGACCCGGGAAACTTTTCGACGAAATATATATATATATATGTATGTATGTATTCGAAACGTTTTTTGATAAGTAATTGTCACGTCGAAATTTCATTTGCGTCAGACAGTCTGGATTACATCGCGATCGGCTATGTTTTACGTCCTATTTTTAATGTTTTAACGAGGCATCACGATACATTCAGTAAGTATAATAACGTGACGTGCTGTAATATGTCTGTTGCTTCTTACCAGAGATAAAGAATAATCGTTTACTATATGCAATCTGCTAGTGGATAAGATAGAAGCTTCTTTCGCAAGGGAACTACAATTACAAAGAAGAGTTTAATCTCCTATGTACTTCATGTCAATCGCGAACAGAGAAACTTTTGTTCCGAATCGGGGAAACTTTCATTAAAAGTGTGTTTAAGCTTGACAGAGTTAATAATTTACATTACTTAGAAATAAATCTTCAAAAAACGAAGAAATTTCAATGCGTCCGAATTCGTACGTTGAATGCTAAAATATATATTTTTATATATAACACACACACACACACATACACATACATACATACATACAGCATATTACGAGCATAAACGTAACTATAGAAACGAGAAACGATAGAGAAAGCACGCATAATAATACTCGTTTCAATGACGAGGATGGCGGTAAGATAGGAAGAAACGGAAGAGAATTGCATGTAGTAGGGACTAGCCAGGTGTTTCGCTTAGATTCGCAAAAGAACCCGCACCGACACGGCGCGCTCGCCTGGCTCCATTTTGTTTTATCGACGACGTCCCACCGGTAAATGACCCACTTTTAAGGCGCGTTTCTAACGAGACACCACTTCCCCTTAGCTACGATCAGTAAATTTTCTCTATCTTTTCGATCATATTATATGTAGCTCGAGTTAACGAAACACGCAAAGGAAAACCAAGTGGCTTGAAAGCGAATCGAAGTACGTGTATAATAATGATAATACTACTGCTAATACTAATAATAATAATAATAATAATAGTAATGATGATGATAATGATGATGATAATGATGATAATGATGATGATGATAATAAAATTATGAATAATAAAATTATGAATAATAAAAATAAGACTCACCGAGTCGAAGTTCCCCGAAGTTACCACAGCCAATTTTCTTGCCGACCCGAAAATTCGGGCCAACCATCAGCACAGCGGATGAAGAGGTGACACTATGCCTCGAGGAATGGACATTGGACCTCGTGGCGTTACCACTACCACGGGAGGTCCTTTTCGCCGCGTCCTGCTGATCGCGATCGGAGCCACGGCCGAGCTCCTTCTCGCGGCCATCCCTGCCGTCTCTCTTCTGCATCCTGACAGGACGACGATTTAACGATAATTTTAATCTTCGAACGTTCCTCCTCTCACTTCTCCTTTCCTCCTATAACTAAATCGAGCGAGAGAAATTCTATATCTTTCTCTCCCTCTTTCTTTCTCTCTCTTTCTTTCTTTCTTTCTTTCTTTCTTTCGATCTGCCCTCTCCCTACGTGTATGTACGTACGTACGTACGTATATATCTATATGTATTGCGAATACGTATACGTATACGATTGTATATACGTGTTTTCTCTCTCTCTCTCTCTCTCTCTCTCTCTCACTCTCTCTCTCTCTCTCTCCCCCCCCTTGCACGCGCGTCACAGGAGACGGTCAGTAAAGGCAATATTATTCGTCGTCGTTAAGCAACGCTGCTTAAGGATCTCCATTCTCTCTGTTTTTTTTTTCCTTCCTCGAAGACGCCAACGAAGACGCGACTTCCTGGTGGAAGGACGAAGGGACACAACCATACGAGCTGGAGCACCTAAATCAGCGGCGTTGCTAAAGAAAATTTCGCCGTCACGCTTCGAAATTAGGATCAACGACGAAGATGACGGCGACGGCGACGGCGACAGCTCCGACGACAGCTCCGACGACGACGACGACGTACGATGACAATGACGACGACGACGACGGCGACGACGACGACGACGACGACGACAGCCGCGATAGCCGCGACGACGACGACGACGACGACGACGACGACGACGACGACGACAACAACTTCACTCCGTCGAGATCGACGATCCCCATGCCGTTCTAACCTCACTTTCGCTTTCCGAATTTTAACAACGACAAAATGCTTATGCACACTTATCGTCAAACGTTGAAAGAAATCACGGCTAAGTCCGCCGCAAACGGCAAGGTAAAGCACGACACGCGGCCGACACGCTCTCGTCGACACCTATCTCTAATCACACACACATTCACACACACTCGCGCGCGCGCGCGCACACACACACACACACACAAGCACGCAAATGCAATCGCACACCCACCTCAAGAAAATACGCACACACGCGCGGTTAGCGCGCAAGAACGTGCACACCGCAGGCTCACGCGCGCACCCACCTATATCGTTTTCTTTCTCCCTCCTTTTCTATCTGCTCCTCCTACAGCTATCTCTCTTTCTCTCTCGTTCTTTCTTTCTCGCTCACCCACACCCTCTCGCGTAGTCCTATCTCTTTCTTTCTTTCTCGCTTGCTCGCTCGTTCGTTCGTTCGTTCGTTCTCACTCACTCACTCTCGTTCGTTCTTTTTTCTTTTAGCCTTGCACTCTTTCGCTACTTACACGCACTCTCTCTCTCTCTCTCTCTCTCTCTCTCTCTCTCTCTCTCTCTCTCTCTCTCTCTCTCTCTCTCTCTCTCTCTCTCTGTCTCTCTACTTTCTGCTCCTATATAAGTACCTAGCTTAACTATCTCCTTCTTCCTCTTTCACTACTCAAAGCGGCCAGTGGTTGTCACAGACGGTTGCGAGGCCGAGCCGAGTCGAAGACCCTGGACGATCCCATATCAAATTTTCGCACTGTCCTTGTCAGTCACCCGGCCGGCCGGCCAGGCACGTTGATCCCAAACGAAAAAAAAAAATCCGTCCGGTTTCAGCCACACCGACGAGCATCGCCGTGGCAACCGTCCTCCTTGCGCACGACGACGACGACAACACACACCGATGACTGTTCCTCCATTACGGAAGCGGTCGAGCCGCGTGCGAGATCACGACTATTACACGATTCTCGATATCACTCTCTATCTCTTTCTTTCTTTCTTTCTTTCTCTCTCTCTCTCTCTCTTTCTCCCCCGTTTTCTCCGGTTACGTATGGTATCCCTTTAGATGTAACGAGAGTGAAGAAATGTGTGGACGGCTCGGTGAAAATGAAAGAGGGAAGAGAGATGACGCTTAGACGCGCGAAATCATCCAAGTTTATACGTACGGGAGGGAGGATGGAAGGGAGCAGAAGAAGGAGGAGGAATTCTTCGGTCGCTCGCGAAAGAGTTCATGGGCTCGTGTCACCAGAGTACGGCTGATCGCCGTTATCCCACAGAGCGCGCGCGCGCACACACGCACACGCTCGAGTGCGGCCAGTTGAGTTCTTTCCAGCGTGTGCCTCTTTCCCTCTCTCTCTCTCTCTCTCTCTTTCTCTCTTTCTTTCTTTCTTTGTTTTTTCCTTTCCTTGCCACTCTTTCGTTTTCCCTCCTTTATCCTTTGACCGATGGCAAAGCGTAATATCTTTTCCCACAAGCACAACAGTCCTCCGTGCCTCCGTGGTGATCGCGCGAACGCGCACACGCTACCCCGAAAGGCCAGTCGGATGCGGACGAAACGATCGCGGACAGGTTTGCGCTCTCCCGTCTCTCGCGCTCGACTCGGGGAGACGGATAAGATTTGTTACGAGGCCGACAATGTTGCCAACTGGAGGGGCAGGGTCAGACAAATGTATACGCATGCGCCTTTTATTCGACGTCGTTCATTGGTCAACGTTTTCTCAAGTACCGTTAGATTTCCATTGGCTTCACGAAACTTTTCCGATAATTATCGACGAGATAAAAGAGAATCGACCAATCAGCGATCGTCGCGGTTTAATTTAATTATACTATGTATTATAATTTATGTATACAACTTATTATTCATTAAATGAAATAATATGAAACTATTAATATCTCAATATCGTTATTATCACAATTTTTATTTATTAAAATCGGCGTATCATTAATTTTCCTAATCCTATTTTCAATTTACTATCACGTATCACCAATAACGATGGATCGTTTTATATTGAGAACCAATCAGAATATTGTATTAGAAATATTTTCTTAAATGTTGAATTTATCTTTAAGTGCAAGCCGCCAAAAATATTTGAACGGTGAAAGTAACTGCGTGGGTGATACAAATAAGTGTCACGAAAAATATGTATTATTTTTATCGAATATAAAAGATCGATCCTTTGAACAGTTATGATTATTTTTTCTTATTCTATCCTTATTTATCGAACGCATGATATTTATCCTTTCTTTGGATAATTTACCTTCGGGTAATAGCTTCTCTAATTAAAATTAATTTCAAACAAGGTTTTCTTGATTGACTTATTAAATATTTCAAGATCTTCTTTTATACATAATTAATCCAAATTTCCGACGTCATGGATGAATTAGGAAGTTCTAATCTTCAAATTGTACTTAGTATTAAAGAAGGTATTTATTTTAGGCTATTTAATTGTTTTGATTTAATTGTGAATTAAAAATTTTGCATGTGTTTTTATTCGTATGCTTTAGGAAAAGGTTTTGAACAGATTTCACAGCCAACGATTCTTATTGCAACATTAAATGGTCATTCTTTAGAATCTGATATTATTGAACCAAATTCAAATCCACAATATGCAACTGATTTAGTTTGGGAAACAGATAAAAATTCTTTAAGGAAGTATGTATTATAGAAGTAATATTTATATTTGATAAAATATTATTGTATGTGAATAGAATAATTATAATAAGCTTTTATATATAGAATGAGATGTGGACAAACTCCCTTAAAGTTAGAATGTTTTGCTTTAAAGGATCATAACAATAAAGAAAAAATTGGATATATTCTTCTTAGTATAAGATCTGCGCAGATTATACCTAAAAATAAAGAAGTAGATGCGAAAGCAATCTGGCATACTTTATTAGGATTGAAAAATGATCTTAGAGCACAAAAACCTGAATTGTTACTATCATTAAGCATTGAAGATCGAGAATATGCTACCTCAAATTCTTCGATGAAGGTAAAATATTAATAATGTTGCCTAGTTTTTTTTTTTCTTTTTTTTATTAAATATTTTATTAAATATGCGTTTTAGTTGGATTATATACAACCATACGATTGTCCTACTTCTAAAACTAATATGATAACTCCATCTTTAATTTACGAAGAACGACTTATACAATTAGGACCACTGAATCTCTGCAATGAAATATTTCTTTTAAATATAATATCGAATACTGTAATAAAGTTGGATACATTATTGCTTGAAAATTCAAATAATGATATAAAAGAAAATCTTTCAATTTGGTATTATATATTAGAAAATGACGTGAAACTTAAACCTTTTATAAAAGATTCTGAAAAAACTTTGGTTCTTAATGAAAAGATTGTTGTAAGAATTAGGAGTTCTTTAGATACATTAAAAAGCTATTTACTATTAAAACCACATTTGAATATATCTTTAAAATATAAAGATAACATTGTCATTCAAAAGCAAGTTAATTTGCAACCATTAATAAACGATATTCCTGATTTACTTCAATTTACCAATGGCAAAACAACAATTCTAAATAAACGATGCTATCTGAATCAAACAAATATATTTCATCCTATTGATATAGAACACAATCAGTCTTATATAGATTTACAACTTAAACTACAGTATATCGGATCAAAAGAAAATTTACATAATTATGAAACTAATCAAGTATTCGCAACTGAAAATAATATGGCACAGTTAACTATTAATGAACATAACGAAGAATATAATAATACCTTTGATCAAGTAATTAAGTTGAATGTTTAATATTTATAGTTGTTAATATATACTTTTAAAGTACCACCTATATTTTTAACTTATAATCAACCATTTGTAATATTTTCCTAAACAAAAATAAAAGAGAATAACTTTTAGTATTTTATTTGAAAAACATATTTCAGAAATTTACTGAAATCGATATGCATAGAAATCCTGCAGGTGACTTTGAAAAATATACTTGCGAAAGAATCATTTCTGACCATAAGAATATAGCTATCCGCCCAACAAATTGTGAAATGCAAGAAAATTCTATACCAGTAATATCTCAATTACCAAATAGTACAGATTATTCAAAAAATGTGGAAAATTATCATTGTTTTTGTTTGGATATAATGTTAGTTGCAATTAAATTATCTTCAGGACCTGCAGTACAAAATATTGAGTTCAGGTAGAATTTATCCTAATAAATTCTTATATTTATATTATGAATAATATAAATAAATATATTCTTTTTTCTTTTTTTATAGATTTCATCATCCAAAAGCGGAAATTATGTCAACAGTTCATTCTAAAATGTCAGTTTTTTTAGGAGAAAAAGTCAAGTTAAGAGACATTGGTTGCAAATTACATTTTATATCTACAACAAATGAAATCAAACAATTGTTGATCTCTTTTCCTCCTAAAATTAGTATATATGATGTGGGTGGAGATGTTAAAACTTATATAGCACAGTTTTCTCTTGATGTAAAACAATTATTTCATCACGACAAGGTATTAAAATGATAATAAAAAAAAAAAAGAAAAGAAAAAAAAAATTAAACAAAACAATTCAACGCAATAAATATACAGCATGTATTATTTACTTAGTGGAAATACGAATACGAAATGCCTTTATACAATCCAGAGGAAATTAAAGTCGGTGAATTAGATGTTGTACTTAATTTATTGGATCATGGCCCGTACTATAGTATAAAACAGAATGTCTCTGGTATGCATTTATTTTTATAGTACGTCATTTTTATTTATTTTTTATTAATTCTTATTAATTCTTTTTATATAAATAATAATTTATTTTCATTTAGATCAAAATTTTGGTCCACCAATTATAGATGATAGTTTAGCATATAAAATAGTTGATGAGTTAGAGACATGGAAAGAACGACAAAAGGAAATATTTAAAGTAGAGGTACATTATATTTTATATTTTATTTTTTATTACATATATTTGTTATATAAAATAAAAGTACAAAGACACATTGTTCTACGTAATTTTGTACAGTTAAAAAAAAAAGAGGAACGTCATTTAAATTTATTGAACGAAGAATGGCAAAGGCAAAAGGAAAATTTAGAATCAAAACTAGCATGCAGTGTTGAGCAGTGTAAAATGTTAGCAAACAATCTAAATAAGGCAACTGATGATTTAAGAACACGAAGATTAAAAAATCTTGAAAAAGAAGCTAGATTAATAAAGGCAAATGAAGATTTGCATTGGAGATACGAAGCTAAAGTTCAGGAATTAAAGGAATCATTACGTATAATGCAAGAAGAATCAACATCGAAAGTTAGTATATATAATAGTTATGTTTTATTATGATTATATTCATTCATTTTTTTTCAATATGTTCTACATACATTTTGTAGATACGTATTTTTGAAGAAAAAAATGCTTCTCTTGAAGCAAAAATTGAGCCTTTATCCATAGAAAATGAGAAATTACGACAAATGATAACAAAGCAAGCAGAAGAATTAGAAGTATATCAAAAAGGATCCCTTACACAAGATCAGACAGCAACTTTGTTACAAGAATTAAAAACTCTTGAAGAAAAATATAATAATGCGCAACATAATAAAACATTTTTTAAGGAAGAATGGGGTAAAGCAGTTCGTGAAATTCACAGAATGAAAAGAGAACATCAGCAAACAATTCAAATTCAAATTAAAAATAGTAAGGAAGAGTTGAAAAATTTAGGGTGAGTTAAGACTTATTTAATTATATTATATTGTCATTGTTTATTTACAAAATTAATATTTTATTTTGATGTATAGTTTGGAAGATATATTATGTGCAGATACAACAGCTTTAACAAATGATCAAATCTTATTAGGGCAAATTCAAAAAGAAATAGATGTATATAAACCTAATTCTTTAATGAAGGAAAAACATCAACAGATTCTAACACCAGTAACTGAGATATTTCCTAAAAATTCTCAAACTAATATGAAAACTATTTTACATAAACCAGAAGAACACGATGAACGATTACAAGCTCTTATTGAGGAACGGGATTCTCTATTAAAAACCGGTAGTTATACTAATGATGACACAGTAATTGTAAAACTTAACACGGAAATTAGGAATCTTTTGATGAACAGTTGAAAATACTTTTAAAAAATTATAGGATTTGGAATAAATTAATAATAAAAATTAGAATCATTTGTTTTAGATAATTTTAAATATATATATTATTTATTGTAAATAATAGTTTCAAATTAATTTGATATATCTATTTGAATAAATGTTTTGTATATGCGTTAAACTCGGTAGAAGTAAGGAAGTTTGTCTAAAGGTGCATCATAATTTCGTATCCATCCTGGACCAATGTAAGTAACATTATCTGATGCATCTTTCCACAATCCTTTAGGTAAATATATATCTCGTGATACAGCACCTTCTTCTATTACTGGTGCTACCAAAATTTCTTCTCCTAGTAGATATTCTATAAGAAAATCAATAGAAATTATTATTGCAATATAATTCATAAACTAAATAATAATAATTTATATAAATTCTTAATTTACCATCCTTAATTTTATGAGCTGTTTTGTCAGTTGGGTCGACCCACCATATGGGAGGATTTAAAGGTGCGCCTGTTTTAATACACTCATTCATACGATCTAATATAAGCGGTGTTATATCTGCGTGTAAGTCTGTGTACTTCTTACAAATTTCAACGGTCTTAAAAATATGAAAAAAATAAAAAATTAAATTGGTATGTTAAATTCGATTATATATTCTATTATCAGTAGAAATAGTTACCTCATTATCAAAATCCCATGGTACAAAAGAATATTGTAATGATGGCATAAAAACATTAGCTTGCAACCATCTAATGAACAATTCTTTTGGTGGATATACAGTGCCATTTAATGCACCATTCAAATATCCATTACCGCCTATCATGTCAGGAAGAACAAATACGTATCCGTTCAAATTCATTTGCAAGAGTGTTGTAATCAAAGTAGGTAAACCATTATTCCATGACCATGTTGAGTCCTTATCAATCATTCTAACAAATATGGGAAGATCTTGGCTTCTCCATCCAACACGAACTTCTATATTGTCATCAAAATTGTTAGCAAGTGCAGTAACATAGTCCTTTGTGAAGATTCCAGGTTGAGTATCCAATGAACCATTTAAAGATGGTATTTGAGGTAGCCATGACACTTCACCAGCATCAAATTTGAAACTATCTATACCAATTTCTTCAAGTAACTTTAATCTTGCAACCCACCAATCAACTGCTTTTGGATTTGTGAAGTCTATTGTTGCAGATTCAGTACCTTTGAATTTAAGAAAATTGCAGTTTTTGTTATTTATATATATATATATACATATATACATGGTTTTATGCATATAATATTCTTATATTTGATAAATCATTTTACCTTGCCACCATTGCATGTCAACTTTTCCTGTGGTACTCTTAACAAAGTATGAATTATTTAGAGCAGTACTATATGCTGGTTCACAATTTTTATTAATGAACGGATGTATCCATAATGTTACTCTAAAATCTCTATACTTTAATTTTTCCGTAAGTCGAGCAATGATAGGAAATTTAGATTTATCAAACTCAGCTGAACCATAACAAGTTTCCCAATTGTCATCAATTTCAAGTTGACTATTGTTAAAACCATGTTCAATGATATCAATTGCAAAATTTTCAATGACAGATTCACTGACATTAACTTTATATCTAGCCCAAGTGGACCATATTGGATGTTTAATCATTCTTTCATTTGGATGACCTGTAGGTTTGCCTAAATGATTCTGCACTACGTACTCGTGTGCTACTCTTGGATTACTAAATATGCCAATTTCATAATTAAGCGTTATAGATTCTCTATGCCTATAAGGACCTTTATTCTTTGAAACGAGGCAAATATATTTGTCCATATAGTTGTTTTGATCAAGAAACAATGGATCTTTCATATCCACATAGATGTATGTTCCTTTACCAGAAAGCCAATAACGTTCGGCTACAGCCATATTTACAGGGTGTGTTGGAACATATGGTTCTTCTTCATAATACATATGTTGAATGGGCCAGTGCTGATAACGTAATTGTGGTCCTCCAAACCATTCTGTGTCATCACCAAGCTCATAACAATCTATAAGCTTTGCATCAGAATCTTTAACAATTCGTGATACATTGATGACGTCACTATTTGTAGATAATCTAATTACTGTGTGTATTACATCTTCGTTTTTAAGACACACGTTATCAGTACCACAATTCAAATCTATGAGAGTTGGACCCCTTAATATATCAGAAGATTGAGTGTGGAGAACATTACGTGTACATGAATCTTCCCCGTCAGAATCTAAATAGCATAATACAAAATTAGTTTGAAATCTCCCTTATTTTTATTAAAAATCAAAAATGTGATATATCTTCACTTACTCCTGCAAATACGTAAAGTTGCAACATTTTGATTAATTTCAATTGTAACTACAGCATTCCTTATATTACGTTCAATTTTAGACCTTAATTCACATTGAGATTTGTGAATCAATATGATATTAAGAAGCAAAAAAAGTCCTACTGGAAAAAGAAAAGAACTCTAAAATATATATCTACTACATTCTATTTTATCACATTTAATTTGAAAATACTCTATTTTACAACATTTAATTCAAGAATTCTGTACTTACTATTCCTCCATAACAACTTCATCTTGCACTTAACTCTATCTACAACTGTAATATTGCATAAGCTCACTTTGATTTATATATCAATGTGATATCAACCAATTGATTTTTTAAATATAATTGCTCTTATGATGTTTTAGATATTATGATAAGTTGTTCCTATGTATAAGATAAAATATTCTGACCTTATCACATATGAAGTATTTTCTTTGAAAAAGGTATCTTTTCTTGTTTATATATATTTTATATCTACTGAAAAATCGTGTTTTTAATTTTTTTCTATAATTAAAAGATTTATCTTTGAATACTTTTACATTACCTTTATATACTTTTAATTTTGTTCTAATATTAAATATAATTCTAATGTGAATATAAAAAAATGACAATTTTTGTTTGTATTTTGGTAATTTGAAGTAAGAATATACATATAAAAAAAAATTGCATAATCAAAAACTACATGTTGTCTTCAATTAAATTCGTTTATTATATAAAATACATAAATATATATATATATATATATATATATATATATATATACACAACATACTTTATCACAGGAATTATAAGTCAATAACAAATGACTCATTATGGGAGATAAATTTTACTTGACAAATTATTATCTAAAGAAAAGAATTATTATAGTGTTAACAATGAAGAAAGAGAAAAAGAAAGAACTATATAAAGAATCATATATACATGAATTATGTACGTGAAGAAAAAAGAACATATGTACACAAATGTAAATATTTTATAACGGGTACAATTTGTTATGGGAACGGCCCTGAGGTCGGATGACCGCATGCGGGTAGAAACCGACGCCTCGAAACCAATTTACCGCATCCGGTCTGTGCAGTTTTACTTGATCATGAGGTGTGATCTCACTGGACAGTGGGTTGCATTTTGACAAATTAACGTCAAAATGTGCGAGACCGAGAGATTAATCAATCTCGTGAAAAATTATCCAATCTTGTATAATATGAAGAATAAATATTACAAGGACATTAATAAGAAAGCAACAGTGTGGAAAGAAATAGCGATTCAATTGGACTTGGAAGATGGTGAGGATTCGTATGGGGGCCATCATCGGTATTCGGATAGTCAGAACAATCGAATAACTCGCATATCGATTATCAGTTATTCGATATTCATAAGTAATCCCTTTCCCTGCTCCAATTCGATAAATATTCGATTGATCGATCGAACTATTTGAATTTAAATTTAAATTGTATATAATGCTTCCCTTAACGATTTCATGATAAAAGAAATTATTTAATGAAATTATAAATTGATTTAAATAAAATCAATTGTAATAGATTAAAATATTATTCATACGGAGAGTATATATCGATGATATAACATGATATACATATATTTTATCAGTTCGATTTATTATAGGTACAGTAGCAAAAAATAAATGGAGGCACCTTCGTGATTGTTATGGAAAATATTTACGATCACAATCAGATGCTACAGGACAATGTAACAAAAAATATAGAAGGTGGACTTGGGCTAATCAGATGGATTTTTTAAAGCCTTATGTAACCACTAGACAGTAAGTAATGATTACAAAAATTTGATTACTTTTTTTAATTTTATTCGAAAAGAATCGATCAATAGAAGATCTGATTGTGATCGGAAATTACCGTTCACTAAATTCATTTCTTTTTCCTTTTTTTCTTTTTATATCGATCATTATTATGAAAGCTGATAGATAAGATAAGTACGATAATTCGCGATCACGAACAGTTCACGGGATAATTTTCTTTTAACAATTAAATTATCATTTATTTGATTTTTATTATTGATGTATATTTCCCACTGATGTCATAACTACATTTTTATCGTGAAAGATATAAACGTATAGTTAATCACTTTATATTTTTGTTATGCAATTTTTATTAATAATAATAATAAAGGAAGTTTTAATATAAAAAGTAAATGTATGTTAGATAAGATATAAAATTACTATAACACGATTTGTATAGAGAATATCTCGCGCCAAAAATTAAATTTCTTTTTTGTTAGAATCGATTTAAATCATGTAGGAAGTTATTCGGATAGTGATACAGATACAAAGATCAAAAGTGAACCTGCTGGCCATGAAGATATTGTGCAATATTTCAATGATTCTCATAATGAAGAAATGCCAGTTTCTAGGCATTGCTCGATACAACCAACTTTAAATCTAAATATACCTGAAGAGACAATAGAATATTTACAAACGAGAAAAGTACAAAAATGTATGGATGCAATGGATTTGTTATTTTTAAGTTATGCGCAAACATTGAAGACTCTTTCTCCTCAGAGACAAATAGCAATCAAATTACAGATTGCACAAATTATAAACAGTGCAGAGATAGCACAACTTGGAGAACGTGATAGATTACGTTTTCCAACAACGCCATCGTCGCCTACATAGTACTTGCTTTTTTTTTCTTTTTTCTTTTTTTTTTCTTTTTTCTTTTTTCTTTTTTTTCCCCTTTTTTTTCCAGTCAATACATATTTATCTTTTGTAAACGATAAATAGTAGACACGTATCTCTCAATAATGGTACATTGTTACTATATTACATTATGTTACACAATAAATTGTTATATTTCTGCAATATATGTATGCTCATGCATATCATACTGTTACTGTGATAAAAATATTTATTTTTCATATTTACATCTATATGACATGCATACATAAAAAAATGTTTCGATTGTGATTTAAAAATGTATTATGTTCTTTGTAAATTGTTTAATCTCATGTAAGAGACAACTTATTGGAAGTAACTTCAATAGCTCTTACAAGATCTTTTCCAAGAACATAAAAGTCTTGTATCATTGTAGAAAAATTTAATACAAGTTTACCATTGTTATTCAATTTTCGGCAATTCATGTTCGATACTTTAAAATCATTGTCTTTTAAAGCAGTAGGTTTCAATAAAACTCCTATTACCATACCACCATATGTATCATGAAAAAATAAAGCAAATTCACTATAACCATCCTATAAATATAAATATTATATTAGTTTAACATCAAATTACGTTGATAAAAATATATATTATAAAGTTCAACGTACCCTTAACTCTTTCAAAAAATATTGAATAGGATCAAAGTCTATGATAGGAATTTTTTCCAGTGAATGTGGTTTATATGGATGCCATTCAACAACTGGATGTTCTTCATTCAGATCAATTGCTTGCAATCTTCTAGGATTAAGAAGTGGTTTCAAATGTATCAAACAATCATATTCTGACATAGGTGATCTAAAGAGAGATTTACAATCTAATATCGTTTTAGTGTATAATTGTCGCTCAAACAATTTTAAAGATTCTTGAGCGAGAAGACATATACGATTCAAAATTAATACAGTCGGTGCTTTTCTAGTCCATAAAGATCCTTGTTGGTCATAAGGTGTAGAAATAAATAAAGGTGGCAAAGTGTCACGCGACTTTCCGAAAAGCGTTTCTACCTCAATTATTTCTTCTTCTGTAAATACATATAACACGTTTAAAAAGTTATTAAAAAGTTAAATTATCTTAAATATATTATATTTACATACTTGACATTTCATCATTGAAATTAACAATAACAGGATCTGTATTCCAGTGTTCCCTTGCAAAAATTTCTAAAACTCTTAAAAATCCTACTTGTGGCATATGTGCATGTCTATATGGTTCTGGCATTAAATACATTGATGCTAAAATTAATTCAACTGCTACATTTGGCATATGATAATCATCCAATAAATGAGCAGACAACCAACGTTTTGTTAAACAACAAGCAGCACCAAAAGAAGGATGTTGAGAGTGTATTCTATTATAAATAATACAATTTATATAATAATTAGCAATAAGTTTTGATATTAAATTAAATCTTTTTACTTGTTCACTTACCCATGTAATGCACCATTTAATTTGGGCAATTGAAATAATTTCTTTTCTAATTCAATAGATTCTTCATTGTCTCTATACTTAATTACACCATCTTCATCGACTTGATGTTTTAAAAAGGCTATTTCTTTTTGATGTGCTATTCTCAACCGAAAAACAAACCCATCCTGATAAATAAATATTTTGATTATATTTATCATAACTTAATTATAATAAATAATGCCATTCCATAAAATACATATAATAAGTTTTACCTTAAATACATCTATATGAGCAACATTTCCTTGTGCTTTTAAATTATGCTGTTTCCTAAGACACTCAGCAATTTGAATATGAAAAGCAGCCTTTGTTTTTCTAATAGCTTCTAATTCTTCAGGCCATTTTCCACTAGTCGATAATTGTAAACTAACATCAAGTGGATAAACATATCTAGGTACCATACCAATATTGTTCGTTTTAAGCATTAAGTAATTTTCACCTTCTTTAGTTATTTTATGACCAGCACGATAAACAGTTGATAATGGTGGAAAAACTTCCGTATAACGAAAAGCTGCACTAGATCCTTGTACACCAGTTATTGAAAGAGGTATATCAATAAGAGACATTAAGTCTTTTTCTAAAGAATTAAATGCTTTTATCACGCGTAAAGTTGCTTCTTCACCAGTACCATATACAAAGTGTGTAATTTTAATCTAAAACAGAAAAAAAAAAATATTAAAATATTTTATTAACAATAAGAATTTTATACCTTCTAATATTTGAATACATTATATGAAATATTACTTTGTTCAATTTTAAAATATCTTCCATTTGATTAGCAAGATATAAATATTGATCCTCTGATAAATTAAATTTATGTTTCAATATAAATTTTACGATCTTTTTACAAATCATTCTCTTTCCATGTAACGTTTTTCCTTTTCCCCAAATTACAGCTTCGCGTATAGATCCATCTTGAAAGCGACGTAGTTCAGATTTATTACACCAAAATTTTCTGAATAAAGCTGCCTGTAGTAAAAAATTATATTAACATTATATAATACATTTTCTGCGGAATACAGTTTAAAATTAGTATGTTCTGTTTACATCTGGTAAATTAGCTTCAGGGCCTTTCTCAACGATACTAAAACAAAATTCTGGATTTAAGTCAAAACCAATAGAGATTTTTCCAATATTATTTGACCATTTATTTTCACAATCCCATTGTCTTGATTCATTCGGTAATACACATATTCTATGCACTCTATTTCCTAAACCTTGTTGCAATACTTTTATAAGTATCTTAATAGCTTGACTGCGTTTGTCAATACCATAATCTAATTTATCATCTCTGGATGATTTAGCGTCAACAATTTTTTCTATGGCTTCATCATCTTCAATACTAAACATAAAATAAATTATTTGACCAAAGACATAATGCTTATACTTTTTAAATTACTTAAAAATATTTATATTCTTACCATAATATATTATCAAATGCATTATAGAATGGAACCCTATGCATAAAAATAGATGGAAAACTATTAACATTTACATTGTCCAAATGTTTTAAAGAAATCTCTGCTTCTCTTTGTACCCAAGAGAAAGTATTTCTTGACAAAAAGGAAGCTAAGTTGTAATATCCACTTGAATCCAGAAATACACAATCATAATATTTATGATAATCCAAAATACGTTGTTGATTATTATCTTCTTGGTACATGGATATCCCATTTTCATACCAACTAATTTGCACTGCAATAAGAAGCATTATAAATATCGATATCACGAATGCAATAAAAAAATAATAATAAATGGTGGTGTCTTACCTAAATTACACCATACATTTCTTACTATTTGGTAACTACTCATAAATGTGTTGAGTTTCTTTATTTTTAGCAAATATAAAACATACATTGTCATTATATGACTGCTAAAGCTATCATAACCCTTAATTAATTGTCGTTGGCTTAACCATATCTTTAATAAAATAATACCATCTCTGATATTAGGATATTCCTTTATCAGTGCAATATTTTGAGAATTTGTTTCTGACATTGTTAGATCATGTAAAATTATGGAGTTATAATGTGGTGTTGGTGTTAAAGATCCTGAATAAGATATAATATATTTATCTTAAGTATTAAAATATGCATGGTGAAAAATAAATAAATAAATAACATACCACTTGTAATTTCTTCGTTGAAAAACCAATTAGGCCTAATACTATTTTTTTCCGGTGAAAATCTGTTCAATTTGAAACTATTTTCATGTGCAGATATATGTATATGTATGCTTAATTTTTTCCCTAAGCTTCCAGGTGGTAGTATTTTTAATACAGGTTGTAAATTACTACCGATAAATAATTTTTTATCGGCAAGATCATCTCCTATATTTGAAGTTATATATGCTAGATATATAGCTTTTTTTCTTAAATATCTATAATTTTGATAATCATGTTTTTGAAATAAATTGTCTGGCATTTGAATCATTACATCCACAGCAGTATCTTGACCAATTGTACAATCGAAAGAATATGAACCAATAATATTAATAGTTAATGGTTTCAAAAATTTAAATGTGCCTCTGACATCTTCTGGTACATTCAATATAGGAATATTTAAATGTAATTTTTTACTAATATTTCCATCGGCGAACTAAAATAATAAATATATTAAATTTTTATTTAATATCTCTTAATTAAATTAAAAAGTTTTAAGTAAAACTAAACAATAACATACCTTTAATTCATCAGTTTCTTGCAATGATTCTATATTTGCCTTAAATTTAATAAACCACTCGTCAAATAATTTTTTATATTTATTTTTTAGTTTCACTTCAGCTAATAATTCTTCAATTTGAAGTCTAAATAAATTTGAATGAAAAAGAGTTTCCGTTTCCCTAAGCTGACTTAATTCTTCAACCGTTGGTTGTTTATATAAATCATTCTGTAACTTCTTCTTTTTTACAAGTACATTACCAAGTTCTTCTGTAACACTTCTTTTTTTCCTTGTACTAGAAATAGAATTATTACTGCCACTCAATTCTCGACCAAATTCATTATTCTCGTCAACTTCTTTCATAAAATTTAATTCGTCATCAAGATCACTGTCATGATTATAATCATCTTCAGGATTTACGTGTGAATCACTATCAATGATATTTTCTTTTAGCTCCTTCGTTTTTCTTACCTAAAAAAGATTTTATTTTTAATATTTATTTCACGTTAAGGTAAGATGAATTATGAAATAAATTATATGAAAATGTTGTTACATTATGTTTCAACTGACGTTACCTTACGAGACTTTTTAACTTTCATTATTAAGAATTTAATTGATTTACTACATATATTTTTATTATCAAAAGATATTAAATAACAATATAAATCATGAGACCGGTGTCAACCACGTTTTGAACCTATAGGTTAAGAATGTTCACTACTTTGTCAAAGCTGTGCGACTTCAGCGACAGATATGGACAAAATATGAACTACGAATATAAGCGGAAAACACACTTTCCCGACTATGTATCTATTGTATCATCGTATAAATTTCTATTGGTTATTCCTCAATGGGTGCATAATAATTGGTTTCGTATAAATTAGAGAGTAAGTAATTTAATCAAAATTAGATTAAAAGGATTTTGAAAATACATTGAAATATGCAGCCATTCGCTCGATAGTACTTATGTTGCATGATTTATCATTAAATTTTAATATATAGCAAGTACTATTGACCCAGGTCTCACTACGTGGAAGTTGCTGCATGTGGAGACCCACGGGCTGACGGTGACTCTACTCTAAAATCCGCGTTCCACGATACCGATCCGCGATACCTTTCCGCTTCAATGCACTGGCTTCTTAACTAACAGGGTATGCGTAGCTTTGCTACTGCACACCTCTTACAGATAGCTCCACCATTTGCACCGTCTGCTTCAGACATAACGGATTATTAAGCACATCTGAATTCGTGCTTTCCGAATTGCGAACAATCAAAGCGCACTCCTTAGAAATACTAATCGCGTCGCGACACTCACGTGTGTGTTATAATTACGTAGATTCTACTGTTAAGCCGAAATTCGCGAAGTACCCCCATCGAAATTTTGAAGAAATCAAACGAAGTCCACGGTAGGACCTTAAATCGCGCCCGAACACCCACGCGAGTGTTAGAAAAACGGTGATTCTACTCTACAATTCGCGTTTTCGATTCGAACAATCAAACGTAATATAATCGCGCCCGAGAACACCCACGCCTGTGCCCGCCGACACGCGCGCCAGTGTTCTTCCTATCCTTCCCGTATTCGCGTTTAAAAATCGATGATGAATCCTGCCATGCGATGTACAATTCGGTCGCAGATGAACCTATCCCTCGATGACCTATCCTGGAACAGAAGAAACTAAAGAGAAAATAAGAGAAGGAAAACAAATGTATAAAATAAAACATAATATAAAATAAATAAAATAGAAAGTAAGCATATATAAATTAATTAGAAAGCTAGAGAAAGAAACAAAAAAAGAGCAGCTATGCACGATGCTGAAACTGCAGACAGCACTATTCCATGGATCCTACCTAAGACCTAAAAATCATAATTAATAAGAATATATTAAAAACATAATTAAAAACATAGTTAAAAATATAATTGAAAACATATTAAAAATAATAAGGAACAACATAAATAAATATTAAGAAAATACAATTAAAAGGAAAGAACATATTGATAACATAATTGAAAACATAATTGAAAAATAAAAATATGAGATAGAAATTAGAGCCGGAGAACGAAAAGAGTGCCGGAGAATGTATAGAGAGCTGGAGAATGTAAAGAGAGCCAGAGAACGAAAAAAGAGCCCCAGAAAGAGAAGAAAAGAAAAACAACTCCACACGATGCTGAGACAGCAACCCGCACAGAGGCCCTCACCCATGGGCCCCTCCCATAGGTCCCACCCGAGATATACAAAGAATAATTAATGAGAGTAAATAAGAAT